TATTAAAGCCTGATCTTCAATTGTGAGAACAGGCAGATGATTCAGTTGGGGTCTGAAAGTGTGGCAAAGGGAGATGGTGGCAGGGGGGAAGCACAAGATAGCAACTCGGGGATCTAAAAGAGAATTTTGGAGGAACTACTTCATGCAGAAGGTAGTGAGAGTGTGGAAATCGCTGCCTGAAGCAGTAGTTGAATCAGATAGTGGAAGTGCATTCAAGAGGAAGCCAGTCCTTCACATGAGAGAGATGGGAATAGAAGGGCTTGGGAGGGTGTAAGAAATGGGTGAAGATTCTTGTAGAGTATAGCCACCGATTTGGGCTGAGTAGCCTGTTTCCGTGCTGTACATTCTTTGTAAATCTTTGTAAAGCTCTAAATAATAATAAGGAATAGGAGTGCTGTATGACATACTGTCAGTACCCTTAACAACAATTCTCTCTGAAGCACTTCAAGAGGTTTTGACTTTAAAGACGCTATTTCAAATGCAAGGATTATTATCTTATATAACTTGCTAAGTAAAATTTCATTGGCTGAGTAACAAAGGTCCACTTACAGCATCTTCCACATAAGATGAATGTCTTGAAGCACTTCACACGGATGGTAGAGAGCATCGAGCAGGGAAGAGAAGAAAGAAAATTTAAGAGAATGAATAGCAAAGCTTAAAAAATATTCGTCTAGAAATTGTAAAAGAAAGAAGAAAATGAACAAAGGAACAGTTTGACTTGACTCGGATATTTTATTGCTGAATTACATCACTTTGGAGCCAGTTTAGCTTCTCCCACTGTTCTCCTCACCTCTCCCAAGAGGATACAGAGAATCAGAATACCAGAGGGCATCAGCATGAGAATATGGTTGGATTCCAACAACAATAATGTGCTTTTATATAGTGCCTTTCAGGGGGGTGGAGTTTCGGAGCTCTTAATCACAGTGTGGTTTAACGCTGAGCTGAAAAGGGATGGGAGGTGACTGAAGGCACAGTCAGACAGGATAATCTTCAGGTATGATATGAAGACAGGCAAAGAGGGACAAGATGGTGGGATTTAGGTAGGGAGTTCCAGAGATTCGGGGCACAGTAGCTCAAAGCATGGTTGCCAATGGTGGAGCGGAGGGGATGGGGACGTACAAAAGACCTGAGCCAACTGAGCGAAGGCAGCAGGCAATGGAGTGAGGTGTGAGCAGATAGAAGAGGAAGGGGGTTACCAGGGTGCACAGTGATTTGAAAGTAAGAGTTAGGATCTTTAAATCGATCCATTCTGCAACAGGGAATCAATGGAGCCTGGCAAGAACTGAAGAGATGGGTGTTCAGAACCTAATACGAGTTAGGGTACTGTGATTAGATTTCATAGGAAGGGTGAAATGTGAACTATATGCGAACTCAAGATATAGTGTCCAAAACAAGGCTATCTGGTAAAACAAAATGTTTATTTCCTCATAAACGTTCACCACACCTGTAGCAGGCATAGGAGTCAACTTGCTCGTTCCCCATATGTACACATTTCGGCTGGAACATCAACATTCATAAGCCAGCTGCTGGGTTATTTGGACGCTCCATTCCAATGGTGTGTTTCCCAGAAGCATAGAAACAAATGTGCTCTGCTGCTCCATTTGTATTCCCCTGCCGCTTCAAGATCTACCAGGCAAACCTGATCCCTGGGTTTGTTACAATAGGGTTTCTCATCTAAAGTTTTAAATTTGCAACCCGATCACACTATAACATGCTGCGTGACATTCAGAGGCATAATTTAATTCTGTAGATTCCATTCATCATTCCTGTGGTCTTCTCTAGAACATGCATCTTCTTTACAATCATGACACTCTACTCAAACCCTGTGAATACTGGATTTGTCTGCGCTGCAGTCCTGGCTGGTGTACCTGTGTATTACTTATTGGTAGAGAGGCAGCGAGCACCAGTCTGTTTTAGCAGAGCACTCAGTGAGTACAAAGGCCAAGGCCATTTCTGCATTAGCATTTGAGTTAATACAGTAACTGGGAAAGTGAGTTACAATGAATCTTTCGATGAAGTTGAATGACGCCCTCAATGCAACTACAAAACAATGCCCCTACTTCCCCCCTCTCTCTCTTACTCGCTGTTTCTCTTTCCCCCTTTTCCTGATGCTCTCTCGCTCTCAATCACTACCCTTGTCTCCCTTCTCCCTCTCTGCTGCCTTGAGAGGACGGATCATGGGAGAAAGGGGGAGCAGGCGTGCCTTTCACTCCTTTCAGCCCCTCACCACTACCCCCCCCCCCCCACCGTTGTGCATGACGATGTTGATGTTACACCCCTGAGGAAGAGGACGTAGAGAATGTTGGAGTGTGCATGTGCGGTGTTCCATTAAAGACAGGTGGGAGAAAATAAATTTTGACCTGGCAGTCAGTAAATTTGATAGAAACAAATGCGGAAGCAGCATTATGATTCATTACGACTTATGTTCATTTAAGTGGATTTAATAGGAAATTGAATGGGACTTGGGCAATAATATGATTTATACAGATCAGACTTATGAAAGTTTTACTGTAGTCAGTCCACTTTACAGTGTACCCCATGAAGCTATTTGAGACGTCTAGATGACATGATCAGGTGCTATGCAAGGACTAGTATTATTATTTTCTTTGATTTGATCCATTGTTGTCCATTTCCAATAATTGTCCAACATCTTAAAATTGAATTATAGAACATTATACAATAGATGCAGGCCATTCAGCTGATAATGCTTCTATTGGCTATTTGAAATATTTGTTCATGTTTCTTTGTTTACTATTTGAACTAATTTATCTAGTGAAATTCCAACTTCCTGACAGCTAATTGGTGACTCAGTACGTTTCATAGTTTTCCTGTATTGCAAAATACATTTGTAAAATGTAATTATTGATTATTATCCAGAGTTCATCATTAATTTAAGCAATTAATCTTATACAAGATCAGAAATTTGAAGCTCGTTATGTTTGTGTATTGTAAGCACTCCAACAATTTATGCAAATAATAAATAAAATTGGAGAATAATTTAAACCTTAATCTGTTTATCTTGTTCCAAATGTTGTGCAAATATTTTACATTCTGTGGGGATCGAGTTAAAATTTAGCAGAGCCACATTGTGGAATATGAGAAAATAGATATCAGTGCATACACAGTCCATTCAAAATTCACCGCATCATTAAAAACAACAGCAACTGAAAGATAAACCATCTCCATTGAAATAAGCTGCACAATAATAATTCAGCAGTTACCAGCATCCAAACCAACAGCAAGCTACAACTAAAACTTCTGAACTTCTTAAAGCATTACCACCAAACTGATTTTTTTTTCCCCTGAAGTTTGACCTTCCCAAAACAATACCAGCAAACGGTTGCATTTTTATTGAAAAGAATTTCTGTACAGTGCCTTTCCTTCCAATGAATCTTATTAACTTTTATGAATAGATGTCTTGATGGAATGGAGTTGAGCTTGGTTGATGATGCTCTCAACAACTCTGCAACTTCTTTCTTCCCCTTCGAATTGCACAATTAGTTTGTTGACTGCAAATTCCAATGCCTTTCATCTATTACCCCACAGTTGACTGGGCGGGGGCAGGAGGAGAAACCATTTGCTGAGATGTACTGTTGGTGGTTAGTTGAGTAGTACTCGAACCATGACATAGTGCGGTCCCACTAGGTGGATGAGGGAGTAGAGGCAATGGAGGAGGATGGTGTGATCGCGTTGGAGAGGTCCAGGTGAATGAGGAGGTAGACTTGGTCACAGAGAGAGAGGAAATCATTTGTTACTTTGACGAGTGCTGTCTCTGTACTGTGGGCAGGGCAATTGGAGGGTTTCGAGTAGGGAGTGGAGGGAGAGGTGTGAGCGAAGTTGATTTGCAATGACATTTGCCAATAAATATGGCCAAGAAGAGCAGGTTTGAGATAGGTCTGACGTTCATGAGGTTGGAGGGATCAGCAGGTAGTGAGCTTCATCTGGGTGATGGTGGGAGAAAGAAAAAAGGAGAGATGGGAGCAAAGGAGTGTAGAGTGTGAGCTGTAGTAGGAGGAGCGGGTGGTGAAGGAGGCATGGGTGGGGGGCAACATGGGGTGGGTGGGGAGGGAACATGGATTGGGTGGGGGGGAGGAAAAAGAGGACACGGATAAGGAGTCGGCTAGGCGAATGTTGTCTGTCTTGGAGATAAAAAAGAATCCAGGACCTCTTCACACTTGGTATCTGAAGTGAGGATCGAAGCTGCTTGAGAGGGGACATTGAAGAGGTGGTGGGTAGGGGAGAAGAGGATTGTTCTGTTCCGAGCTTCCTTATGTTTGCAGAGGGAAATTTCAGGACAAACACTTGTATTTCAAGTTACCACATGTTACAAGAGTGGTTAAAGCAGGATATTCCACTTTTTCAAGAAATAGCTTGATATTATCATGGAAAGATGAAAGAGTATTTATGAAGTTTCAAAGGGTGCTCCCACCCTTTGAAACTTCATCCCACAGTCCCTTCGCCTTGCTCCCTCCCTTGCCCCCTTCAAGATATGTCCAAGACCCTCCTCTTCGACTGCACCTTCGGTCACTCTCCTACCCCAACCCTCCCCGCCCTCCAGCCCTCCTGAATCTAAACCCCCGCTCGAGTACAGTCCATGACTGTCCAACACTTTGGGACATCCTCCCTGCGTGAAAGGCTCTATACAAATTTGTTGTTATCTAAACTCGCTTGTGATCTTGTAAAAATGAACGTTGTTTACAGTCCTATAGATTTACTTGCTTAAGCAGTTCTTTCACCCCATGAATACTGAACACTGGCAAATTGCAGTTGGAAATTGCTCAGCTTTCTCTGAGGACGAGGAAAAGAATCACCGAATAAATGTAGATTTCATTTTTTCCCTTCAAATACCTCTACCCCTCCAAGTCCAATTATTAGGACAGACAGAAAAATCCATTACCAATTATTCCTTAGATTACTGTGAGATGCTTGCTTCAGGTCACAAATTGGTTTGGCTACTGCAGAGTTGACTAGATTTGAGGCCTCAAGCATAAGCTGCTTACCTGGTAAAATTATATTTCAGGGTTATGGATTTCATGCTTCGTCACTAGATAATGGCTGAAACATAATTTTTAAACAAACAAAATTGAAGTTAGAGGACATTCTTTAACAATTTCTTTAAAAAAAGTTTCACTTTTATCAAAATCTTGACTGTACTTAACAGCAATCAGACAGAGGAAAACATTTTCTGGAATTAAGACAGATATTCTGCCCGAATGCATCATTTTACCTTAAATGCAAAACAATTGTAAATTCTGATAAATTATTGATAGCCATCACATTGAATAGTTTTAACCTCACAAATTTAGCTCCATTTTATTTCTGAGGGTTTCAAAAATAGAGAAGGAAGCAAGAAGGATTAAGAAGCTTTAGGAGGGCTTAATGCTCAATCATTAATAATGGAATGGGAGGAGTGTAAAGTGTAGAATCAGAAGAGAACAAGGTACTTGTTTTGCCCACAAAATATAGTCAATTTACTTTACAGTATATTCTGTGAAGCACTTTGAGATGTCTGGAAGACATAAGCTGCTATTTCAAATGCAAGGATTATTTATTATTATTAGCAGGGGAATTAGACTGAAAGATTCCAAAGAAAAAGGATGAGACAGTGTAGAGATTTAAAGGTTTTTTAAAAAAAGGATTTTGAAGTTAATTTGGGGGAATCCCAAAGTCTTAGTACATCTCTGGCACCTGGTTTTCAATCACACTGGACTGACAGGTTGGAAGTCTCCTCCTTTTGCAGATTAGAAAAGTTTTAAGGATCTTGAAACTGTCTTATTCCAGTTCTTGTCATTTACATTTAAATTACATTTGTATAGTGCCTTTCACGTCGGGAGGATGTCCTGAGGTCCTGAACAGTCAGAGATTTAGACCCAAGCTGGGGGCCGTGGAGAGCCTTGAAGGCGAGGATGAGGATTTTGAACTCTATCCTCTGGCGATGGAGAGCCAGTGGAGCTAGGTGGGTTGATGGGATAATGGAGCCTGGTGCGGGAGAGGACATGAGCTGCAGAGCTTTGGATGAGCTGCAGAGCTTTGGATGATCTGCAGCTTGTGGAGGGAAGAGTTGGGAAGGCCGATAAGCAGGGAGTTGGAGCAGGGTGTAGTTGAGCCTAGATGTGATGAATGTGTGGATGAGGGTTTGGGCGTTCTGAGGGGTAAGGCGGTGGCGGAACCGGGCGATGAGGTGGGGGAAGGCAGACGGGTCATGGCATGGATGTGGGGTAGAAAGAATAGTTGAGAGACAAACAAGGTTCCGAACTGGCTCAGTGAGGTACATCCTTGGATGGTAATGCTGTCAGTACCTGAGGTGTGGAGGCTTTGACGGGAGCTAATCGGGAAGGCCTCGTTCTTGTTGGCGTTCAACTGTACAAAGTTAGCTCTCATTCAGGACTTGATGTCTGACAGACATTCTGTCAGGACAGCAGTGGTCCTACTGTCAAGGGTGGAGGCAGAGAGATAGAGTTGGGTGTCATCCCCATACATGTGGAAGTTGACCCCATGTTTGCAGATGATGTCACCAAGAGGGAGCATCTAGATATTGAAGAGGAGGGGACCAAGGACAGAGCCCTGAGGAACGCCACAAGACGGCGCTGGAGAGCAATAGCTGTTTGTGGAGATGAAGTGGAGACGGTATGAGAGGTAAGATCTGAACCACTCAAGGACAGAACCATGAAGGTTGAGGAGAGAGAGGCAGTGGAGGAGGATAGAGTGGTGAACGGTATCGAAGGCAGCAGAGAGGTCAAGGAGGAGGAGGAGGTAGAGGGAGCCCTGGTCACAGATGTACAAAATATCATTTGTCACTTTGACCAAAGTTGTTTCTGGTCTGTGGGCTGCACAGAAGTCTACAGCATAAATATCCCAGGATTCGCAATTGGCAATCGCAAGGATTTGCAATTCAATGGCCACATCGATGATTGATATGACAGGTGAAAAATTGAAACTGTGCTATTTTGTATTTGAAGTTAACTCATGCAACACTGTAGAATGAGAAACACCTGTACTGACCAGGTAGTAATAATCCCAGCTGATTTAAGGTCTTTACCATTTCCTTATTTAAAGTTATACATTGAAACTTTCATTAGTGATTTGTTGATTTGAGGAAAGCAAGTAGAGTGTTTGGAGACGTGTTTCTTGTGATTTGTCTAGGGACGTGTTCCAGAACTCCATTTGCATAACAATACACAAAGAGTAGTGATCTTTTGTAAAATACTGGATAGATGCAGCTAAAAAGTAATGAACAGTTCTTCATTTACAACACATAACAGCTGCTGAGCTAGGCCAATCAAAATATCAATCAACGACTGCAAAAGCCTAAAAGTTAACCAAAAGATAAATTAATCATTTTCCCATCAGAGTAAAACTGCTGATTTGGAGGAAGATTTAAGAATAATTAGAATAATTATACACAATTGATTTGCCTTTCTACCCAATCATTTTCAAAATCAAAGTTTGAAAAAGTAACAACTCAGATTCCTTTTGCCTCTGAACCCAAATTGTCTGTCACTGTTTATTTTCCAGCTTCTGCAGAACTTCATATCACCAGGGTAATAAACAACAAACCTGCTTTGTTGCAGAGAGGTAATGAGGCCAAGCAAGAGAAAGGTAAGATATACTCCATTTCAACAACTCCATCATTCAAGTGTTTTCAGCATTCCATGAAAATATTCAGTAATTATAATCAATAAAAATCTCCAATTTTATTTTAAGATTATTTGGAATGGAGCTTATTAAGTCTCTCTGATGTGAATAACTTTTGAAAGTGCTGTAGGTTTGCCATTTATTCTTTATTAATCTATTTTGCAATTCAGATTTGATTCACATGAGGAAGGAAGCCCACACATTGATTTTCCTTTTTGATGGATATGTCAAAAGTCATGCAACAATCAATGTCTCTTCTTTCTGGGTTGTATGAATAGAGTTTATTCATTTTTTAAAATAAATATTTCATCAAAAATCGTGTCGTTGCCATTCCAAAGAGTTAGTATCACAAATTTTAGAAGATTCTTATTTATTTTCCTCTGAAGATTTTTATTGTATATTTATATACTTGATGACCAAGAATTCCTGCTTCCCTGAGATTTCCTTTCATCCAGGAGAAGCTGTTTCACAATCTTTTCTAGCCAATGCCAGGCCTACACCTTTCACCAAGGTTTCTCAGTGAAAAGAAATCACACCCTGGTCAAAAATTGTCCCATTGGATAGGATTATGATTTTGACAGATAATATGAGAAGCAAGGCAGAAAATCAGTTTGTTGTGTCCTTGAGTTATATGATGAAATCCAAACAAATGGAAACAGTGTTGGAATATGCTCTATTGCATTCAAAATGCTTCATTAATAAGTCAATTTAACAAAACATTCAGTATCTATCACATTCTTTGTACTCAGATGTGGTAGAAGTAGACCCCAAACACCATTTTCAGTATGACTTCCATAGCAGTAGGCTTCCACTCTCAGTTGCGGTGAAGAAAGATCCATATTACTCTGGCCTAAGAATGTACTTCTGTTCCATACTTTTTTTTTAAAAAAGCACATTTTAATGCATCCAAGGAATATTTACCACACCAGGGATTTTTGAATAGTGAGATTTCTTTGTGTTTACAACAAATTATAGAATCCACCACACAGAACGAGGCCATTCAGCCTTATGCCTGTACTGTCTCTTTGAAAGAGCTATCCAATTAGTCCACTCCCCTGCTCTTTCCCCATAGCCTTGTAATAATTTTCTTTTCAAGTGAATATCCAATCCTCTTTTGAAAGTTATTATTGAACGTGTTTCCACCATTCTTTCAAGCAATGCATTCCATATTGTAACAACTCACTGTGTTAAAAAAAATCTGCTCATCTGCCCTATGGTTCTTTTGCCTTTTGATATTCTTATTAATTGCTAGCATAAGGGTGCAGAATTAACATACTAACAATGGGTCAAAATGGATGAGAGGTCATGGAACATATGGAGTCAGTACAAAGAAAGATGGTTGAAGGAAACATGATTGGATATGTTAATAACGGATTGTAAATGACTGATAAGAGATCGGAGGAAGGTACAGAGGAAGTGGGATGAGAGTATAAAGATAGGGAGAACAAAGGAGAAAAAGAAGAAGGGAAAGATTGGAGGAGCACGAGGGAAGACTTGATGGAAGATCAAAAAGCTTGAATACCCAGACAAGACAGATTGGAATCTCGACTGCTGAACGTCTCGACCCGCGGTAGTATTGCTTTGTTGTAATCCCTCTATGGTGTAACTTTATGGAACTAGTAAAGTTTGGCTTAACAGATTTTGCCTAAACGGAATGCTGGGTGACCTTTCTTGATATCCAATATTTGGCGCCCAAACAGGGACCCAGCAAAATAAATCTGTTAAGCCAATCCGGTAACCTTCAGAAGGACTTGACGGCGTGACTCGCGAGTGTGGAACGGTGCGGTTATACCGTCAGAAGGAATTGACAATATTAATCGAGCATCAAGCGTCGACTCATTAGTATTGGAACAGAATTCAAAAACCACTGGGAGTGGAACCAATTGGTAGATAGGATTACAAGCGAAGCTACAATGGAGACGTACGGGTGGCATGAGAAGTTCCAGAGAGGGTTGAACAAGAAGCTACGCGGCCCAATACAGGAGGTATATTGGCAAGTGGAAAGATAGCTGGAGGCAGGGTTGATCGGTATAGTTAACTGTATTCAGGAAGAAGGCACAAAGCGAAGGTTGAGTGATAAGGCTAAAAGAACAGTGCTGAAAATCGTGTTATGGAAACAGGGAGGTGATGTCGGGAAGCTGCAGCAGCAGTTATCTAAGTCGTTAGAGGCGCACACTGAGTTTAAAAAAGGAAAGTTATCAGGCTCAGGAGGAGCAACAGGTGGTGATTGATAAGTTAAGTGCGCGGAATCAAGACCTGGAAGTAATGCGTAGCAGCCTACAGCTGGGAGCTCACCAGACAGGGGCTTTACAGAAGAATAACAACCGTTTAAACCAAGAAGTCAAAATAGCGCAGTTGAAAATACAGGAGCTGCAACAACGATGTGTGGACTTGCAGGCGGCAAACAGTCCTCTTTTATGAATCCAAGCTCCTTGGGATGCAGAAGAGAGGCTTCCTCTGGCCCATTTGCAGATCCCAGGATTAAGCAGTGTGGTAGATTTCTGGCAAACATGGGAAGTAGCTGCAGGGAGGGAGAGCTCCAGCCTACAGTGAACCATCACGTAACACCTTGGAGGTGGAAGCAGTTGCACAGCAGACACATCTATTTACCAAGGCCCCTCCCATGAGGATCTGGATTAAACAGCTGGATAAGTCTGCCTTGTGACATTGCACTTGGATCTTGAGAACATCAAGGGGCTGACATGTCGCAAGTTGCCCTGTAAATATCCTCCGACCATGCTGAAGAAAGATGTCCATCTGATGAGGAAACTCTGAGGCTTCCAGCGACAGCTGCTACAAGGCGTTACAGGGAGTCTGAACTCATGATCATAAATTCATACATCCAGCCCCTGGAATCAACCTTATTAGCTTATAAAGGTAAGCAGCTGCTGCTTAAGCTCTACACCTCCAACTGATAGAACCATTGCTCAATGCGAAGGCAAGAAGATGGTGGCAATGCTCTCACGCACATCATGTTGTGCTGTCTTGCCCACCAAGAAGCCCACAGGGAGTTTCTTGTACTTGCCATCCACTTAGTGAGGGCTCAAACACATGCTTTTCAGCTGTCAAATGACCAACTAGTGACTATCCTCCTTGAGAGAGGTAAGCTGGGTCTCCATGAAGCTGAACTGACTCCAAGGTGTTATGCTTGGCAGCAGAATATCAGAATTGAGCCCACCTTCTGTGGCAGTACTGATGGTCCAGTTCCTGAGCCAGTGCTCTAGGGCACTGCTGATGAGTAGTCAGGCTAAATCATCAGCAGGACTTGGAAGGGCAGACCAATCACGGAAGGAGGGATGGTTTCCAATCGGCTCCCATTAACCAAAAAACCCTAACTGGTTGGGTGGTCCTTGGTTGACAAGTTGTGGGAAAGCTTATCTGGGGGCCCCAAACTTTGGCTCTTACCAACCTCGCCTAATACTTTCTGGAATTAGAAAAGCAAGATTTGTTCCTCCGGAGAGAAAGTGCACTTTCAATTTCCATAATCACCTCTGGAATCTCCATGTGTAAATGGAATGCATAAAACTCTGGTTTGGATACTCTAAGCATGGTGGTAGGTTTCCACATGTGTTAGACACCTGGTTGACCAAGAAAATGGCCTTCACGTTTGACGTATTGTGTTTCAATTGTAAACTGAAAAGTGAATGCAATGTGCCTGGTTCGTGAATATTATATTTTATACACATTTACCAAATGAGTTATCACAACTTTTACTCGCTAAATGTCCCTTGATTTGGTGACAATCATTCAATGAGGCTTCATTAAACATTATTGCTTGGAAGCAACCAAATCATCACTGGCTGCCACAGTGACAGGAAAAAAAAAGTAAAATTAACCAACCTACCTCTAACTCCACGAAGTACACAATACAATAACAGTATGGGATTCAGTTCTGAGCAATCCTATTCCTGTAGTTCAGGTGAAGGTTAACTCACTTGAATACAACAACAACTTGCATTTAAATAGCGAGTGCTTGATGGTGGCGGAGTCTGACAATGAGCCAGGGATAGAGGGAGGGGACAGGTGATTGTAAACATGATCAAAAAATGAGCGAGACTATTTCCCCTGGTAGGAGAATCTAGAACTAGGGGTCACATTCTTAAGATTAAGGGACAGCCCTTTTGAACAGAGTTGAGGAAACACTTCTTCACTCAGAGGGTAGTGAATTTATTGAATTCTCTATCCCAGAAGGCTGTAGATGCTCAGTCCTTGAACATATTCAAGACTGAGATTGATAGGTTTCTGAAGGATAGAGGGATTAAGTGATATGGGTATAAGGTTGGCAGATGGAGTTAGGTTAGAATATCAGCCATGATCTTATTTTGAATGGCGGGAAAGGCTCGAGGGGCCGAATGGCCTACTCTTGCTCCTAATTCCTATGTCCCCATGTTCCTAAAAAGGAAGGTGTTTAGGTGAGATTTGAAGGTAGGGAAAGAGGGAGAGAGTTCCAAAGTTTTGGAGGCAGTTGTTGAAGGCACGACCATTGATGGTGGAGCGGAGGGGACAAGGGACAAACAGGAGGCTGCAGCCAGCCTTGGGGAGACAGCAGGTGGTGGACTGGGGGATAAGCAGTCGGATAGGTAGGGAGGTGCGAGGACATGAAGGGATTTGAAAACAAGAGAGAGTTCTTGAAATCGATCAGTTCCGTAATTGGGAGCCAATGGAGTCTGGCAAGGGGAATGTCTGAATGTGATTATTACCTGGGAATATCTTCCCAGTTGTTCTCTGTTTAAACATTCCCAGGTAGTGTCAGATTTAACAAAACATTCAAGTGTTCAATGGACAGTTGCCATTTTGATTAGCATTGCATTGATCAAATCTATACGGTCAATATCGCACAGACTATCAATACAATGAAAAAAACTTGGTGCCACGTGTATAGTCAAACACTAGATGGCACTGGATATTAAATAATTCTGAAACAAGATGTGTTAAAGACACAATACCCACAATTCAAATGTTTTGCTCCTTAAAATCTGACTGGATTCATAAGTCATTATACAAAATGGCTCCAAATGCATCAAACTTTCTCATTTCATTGTAAAGGTAGAATAGTTTTGGCTTAAAAGAACCAATGCATATTGTGCACGTTCATCTGCTGATACAATAAAATGATACAATAAATTCGGGTGAATTGTTGATTGAAGATTTTGAGACAGCGTATGATTGTGGGTCATGTGTAATCTGGACTCATTACACAGTTACACAGAACAGAAAGTTGAAACTGATTCAGTGAACAAGAGCAAATGGCACTCTTCGTACATACTCAGGTCAGGTGGCAATTTGCAAATTTTGAATATCCCCAAACAATCAGAATTATGAATACAGGCAATAATATTATTTGAGTAAATGTTGAGATATTTTGACATTAATGTGTAGTAAATCTGTTTGTTTAAAGGTAAAAACCTACTATAAATATGAGCAAAGCATATACATAGTTAAAATGTATATTGTGAAGCACTCAATATTGTAATTATGCGTTCTCAGACCAGTAAGCGTGGTTAATGTACTGTCTCTGCTTTTTTATTAGCATTGTATGCGTTCTTAAAGCATTAAAAGTATGAAGTATCAAAGAAGTATTCAAATATTCAAGATACTTTTCATACTGCTAAGTGTAGGTGACTTTGATGATGTGTCCTTATAATGGGACATAAATATCTCAATTTGTGTCTGGTGAGTGTAGTCAGTACTCAGAGGCATATGTTCTTGCACCTGTGTTTATGCACACATCATAGAACATTTGCTCAGTCTGCATAGATATTTCAAAGCTTGTCACGATCATACCACCCTGGTGAAAGGTGTTGCCTAAAGGTCAAAAGCACATATATTGTATTGATGAAATGCTAAAATACTGTGTCTAGTAAATCATTTGAGCTTATTTAGAGCCCAAGCAACTGACACAACTACCAGGCATGGATTTTCATTGATATAAATGGATTCTCATGTCACTGAAACAAGATCATTCTGTCCAAAGTGTTCAAAAATAACTGTAATTATCATAAGATCAAACAGATTCTGATCCAGAATTTGCCCAATTGATGTCAACGTTTCACAACAGAAACCCTATTGTATCTTAAATTAGTTCACTGATCTTAGATCAACCACCCTTCCATCCAACAGGTCAGATTGGATTTTTACTATAATCACTATATTGTGCTTATTTTATTGCGTTTGAATTATTAATTCTTTTGAGAAGGCTAAGTAGATAGACAAGTGTGGAAAACAAAAATGCCATATTGTTTTAACGAACCTTCTTTCTCCGGTTGGGGTTAAGGTTAAACACTCTCGCTTCTGAGGCAGGTGCCATCTTTCAGATGATACGTCATAATCGAGGCCCTTTTAAGATAGACGTTAAAGATCTTGTGCATTATTCGAAAAGAGGAGGGAGTATCTTCTGATATCCTGGCAAACAATCCTCCAAATAAAATTCATCATTCACTTCATGTGGGAAGTGAATTTGTGGGACATGCTGTGCGCCACTGGCTGTCTCATTCACCCACAAAACATATAGTCACTACATTTTACACTTATATGCTGTGAAGTGTTTTGGGACTTTCTCATGACGTGAAAGGCATTATACCAAATATAAGGATTATTAAAGGACACTATCAGGGCCAAGTGCAAAGAACTTTCGAATTCGTGAATTCTTGGTTTTAAAGCTGAGTAAAAAGGAAAAAGTGTTACAATGTTGGGGACTGACAGCTCTCATATTTAACAGATTCATCTTCAACTTTTATTTTAAAGATTTATTGTTTCTATCTGAATTTTTTTTTCCTTTTGATCATTTTGATATGTTGATGTTTGTGCCAGAGATGTGGAAAAGGTTGTTGCTGAGGGCTAATGACAATTGGTTTACCTCCAAAATGAATTAAACCTATTTGCATAATTTGTCATAATAACAAGATGTGCCAAGGTAAACTGATGCACTTTAGCAAAATCTCTAGTATTGAAGACATTCGATAAGAGGAGATATTTAGATATTCTCTAAACTGAGCGGCTTTCAACAGATGACCAGATAGATGTTCATCTGATTAGAAGTGTTCATTGGCATCCTTGCATAAACAACAACAATTTGCATATATAAACCAATAATGTAGGGATCTGTTACTTTTTCAGCTGGTGAGCTGTAACGAGGCAACATGACTTCACCTTTTCAACTGCTGTAAAGAATTTGCTGAGAGGAATTTGTGAAATCTGCCAGAGGATATGTGAAACCTGCCAGAGTCCATCTGTATAAAAGCTAATCTGCAACAACAGGATGGCTGTTGAGCCTGCCATAAATGTATATCACATACGTAAAAATAGAAAGGGAGGAGGTACTTAAAAGATTAGCAGCGCTCAAAGTAGGAAAGTCTCCCGGTCCAGATGGGATACATCTTAGGTTGCTGAGGGAAGTTAGGGTGGAAATATCGGACGCTCTGGCCACAATCTTTCAATCCTCGTTGGATATGGGAGTAGTGCCTGAGGACTAGAAGGTTGCAAATGTTACAACCGTGTTCAAAAAAGGGGAGAGGGATAAACTTGGTAACTACAGGACAGTCAGCCTAACATTGATGGTGGGGAAATCTCTGGAGACCATAATCCGGGATAAAATAAATTTTCACTTAGAAAAATATAAGTTAGTTAATGATAGTCAACAAGGATTTGTTAAAGGCAAATCGTGCGTGACAAACTTAATTTAGTTTTTGATGATATAATGGAAAGGATTGATGAAGTTAGTGCAGTTGATGTAGTGTATATGAACTTTGAGAAGGCATTTGATAAGATGCCACTTAATAGACTAGTTAGCAAAATTGAAACCCATGGGATAAAAGGGATAGTGGCAGCATGGAATGAAATTGGCTGGGAGACAGAAAGCAGAGGCTAGTAGTGAGTGGTTGTGTTTCAGACTGGTGGGATGTAGACAGTGATGTCCCTCAGGGGTCGGTATTAAGTCCACTGCTCTTTTTGATAAACATAAATGACTTGGGCTTGGGTATAGAGAGCAAAATTTTAAAGTTTGCAGATGACACAAAACTTGGAAACGTAGTAAACAGTGAGGAGGATGGTAGCAGACTGCAGGAGGACATAGACAGACTGGTGAAATGGACAGACACATGGTCGATGAAGTTTAATGCAGAGAAGTGTGAGGTGATGCATTTGGGGAGGAAGAATGAACAGAGGCAATATACAATAAATGGTACGTACAGGAGCAGAGAGACCTGGGGGTTCACATTCACAGGTCTGTGAAGGTGGCAGGACAGGTTGATAGAGCTGTTAAAAAAGCACATGAGATGCATAGCTTTATAAATAGAGGCATAGAGTACAACAGCAAGAAGATTCTGCTCAACCTTTATAAATCACTGGTTAGTCCAAATCTGGGCATCACACTTTAGGAAGGATATCAACTCCTTGAAGAGGGTGCAGAAGAGATTTACCAGAATGGTACCAGGGATGAGGTATTTTAGCTATGTGGAGAGATTAGAGAACCTGGAATTGTTCTCCTTAGAGCAGAGAAGGTTAAGGGGAGATTTAACAGAGATGTTCAAAATGATGTGGCATTTTGATAAGAGTAGGTAGGGAGAAACTGTTTCCACTGGCTGGTGAGTCAGGAACCAGGGCACCTAGATTTAAGATAATTGGCAAAAGAACCAGAGGGGAGATGAGGAGAAATTGTTTTACACAGAGAGTTGTTACGGTGTGGAATGCACTGCCTGAAAGGGTGGTGGAAACAGATTATATAACAACTTTCAAAAGGGAATTAGATAGGTAATTGAGTAAAAATTTGCAAGGATATGGGTAAAGAGCGGAGGAGTGGGATTGATTGGGTAACTCTTCGAAAGAGCTGGCGCAAGCATGATGGGCTGAATGGCCTCGTTCTGTGATGTAATATTCTATGATAGGATGCCTGCTGCATAGTGTGCAAGGCATACACACAGATTATACCTAAGAATTGCACTTCATAACCTTCAATTAATGACCACTTGTTCATGGTAGCAGTTAAAAAAAATTCCATCCTAAAAACACGTGCACATTGCGGGAACCGGCATTCCAGCAAAAACAGTTATGGGATGCATGTGCACATTCATGGATCCCAAAACAAATCTGAAATTTTCAATTTTAAAAATTAAATTCAGGTGAAAATTGTTTTTACCAACTGACTTTCACTGGAAAAAAATGAAAATTGGTCAAAAAATGTCCTTAATGGTCCTTACTCCTGGAGTCCTGTAGCTCAGTGGTTAGAGCACTCGCTTTGCAAGCGAGAGACCCGAGTTCAATTCCAGACAGGGCGAAACCTTGGGCAAGTTTCCTTACTCCACACGCCTAACAATAATCCCTCCAAAAAAACAAAAACAATAATAAATTGGTCATCTTCAATCTATGACTGTTTGTGGGACATTGCTATGCGCAATTGGCTGCCGCGTTTGCCCACAAATATACAGTCAATTCACTTTACAGTATATTCTGTGAAGCACTTTGGGATGTCTAGAAGACGTGAAAAGCGCTATATGAAATGCAAGGATTATTATTATTGTTATTACTCCAAGATCATGTGCTTGACAATGGAATATTAGAATCAAATCAATCCTTGTTGGGGTTCTCAGTAGACTGGTTCCTGAGCGAGATGGATTCACACTATTCAAAGGCGCTGTTGGTGACAGATAAGTCATCTGGATCATTGGCAGGACTTGGAGGGCATACCAATCATGGGGGCAGTGAGTTTTCCCACTCAGCTCCTGTTAACCATCCAAGCCAAAGTCTTAATGGATAGGTGTTCTGAGTTGGATGAGCAGGAGAAAGCCTGCCAGACAATATTTCTAATGGCAACTTCTAACTAGTTGAACTCCAGCAATTCCTCAATGCACACTCTGGGGTACCTCAGCCTTTCTTCTTGCCAACCTGCACCTAATACTTTCCTAAATCAGGCAAGAAGCATAAGTTCCACCTAGAAGTGAGTCTACACACCATTCTAGACAAGTATAATACAATGCAACTTATATCTATATGGTGCCTTTGATACCGGGGAATAATTCAAAGTTTTTTACACAACTGGCTGGGGGGCAGGGATTGACTGGGGGGAGGCTTACTGTGGAGGGAGAGGCGTTCAAAATGTCACATAGCAGGGGCATGGGGAAGGACTAGGAGTGGTGTGGGAATAGGATTAAGGGAGCAGGTGTTGAGTTTCAAGTGTTTCAGGAGAAGCAGAGTTCCTGGGTTTGATTCCCAGGCAGGGTGAAACGTTAGGCAAATTTCCTTACTCCACACACCTCTGTTTACCTAACAGTAAGTTGTTAGTTGATTGGCGGATTGCTTTTCCAGAATTAAAGAGTAATTTATTGTAAATTTTGTTTCAATTTGAGTCAAGAATGGTTAGTTTTATACCATGAATCTGCACTCAGTAAGAACTTGGTTGAGGCAAGCAAAATGTATTTCATGTAGGGCCCTTGCACCCAGTGAGAGACTTGGCTCCCATCAATCAGGTCTTGATTCATACCTAGGTCAAGAGATGAAAATAGATTTGTGTTGACACTCAGTGTTGATGATCTCACATGTTAATGACATTTTTCTTGACAGTCATATCTATAACAAGATTAATCAGAGGGAGATACTATCTTAGATGGCCCAATTAAGTTCATCTATATCAATAAAGACGAAGTGTCTGTTTGTGTGTCAGTGTATCCAACAGTCACACAATAACTAATTGACGTAGAGACATGATTTATAGCTCAACGGAAAGGTCTTGCACCTGGCAGTGTCATGAGCCGATTTGTTTGGGGGGGGGGAATCTCCTATCGTTGATGAGCTATATTAAAAAAATCTTTAATTAAGCCCCAAAATATTAGGTATGCATCATATTCTGCAACTATGTAGCGACAGAGGAAAGCACACACTGTTCAGAGAGATACATCTATATTCTGTAACAAATGTATGCTACTTTTTTCTGGTAGTCATAAGAGCTAGAGTCCTCCCACATGGGACAGACACAGAGAGAGTCTGTGAGAGAGAGACTGAAATAGTGAGAGAGACTGAGAGAAACAGAGAGACTGGGAGAGAGAGAGAGAGAGACAGTGTGAGAGAATATATCATAAAGTGTAGTGACTGTGTGTTTTGTGGGAGAGACAGAGAAAGAAGCAGACTGAGAGAGAGTGAGAGAGACTGTGAGAGAAAATATATTAAAGGAGTTCTCCCACTGAGTCCTCCCAAAAGGAGTTCTCTCAAAAGGAGTCCTCCCAGCTGAGTATAAAGTGAAAACAAAATGTTTGTCTGTGTGTCAATCTACATTCCTTATTGGATCCTTTGGTTACAAGCGAAGCTACAACAGGTACAACTAGTCTATACTAATAAAGACAAAATGTTTTTGTGTGTGTGTCTGTGTGTCCGCCAAAAACGCAATTAACCGATTGATATAGAGACATGATTAAACCTCATTGGAAAGGTCTTGCATGGGGGAAGAGTCATGGCCATATTTTTTTGGGGGGAATCTCCTATCATTGATGAGCTATATTCAAAAATATATTTTAAAATGCTTTAATTAAGCCCCCCCAAAAAAGGTTTGCATGGTAGGCTGCAACAAAGTAGCAACAGAGGTCACACACCCTTCTAGAGAGGTACATTTATACTAATAAAGGCAAAAATATCTGTCTATGTGTCAGAAGTCCTCCCACTGAGTCCTCCCAAAAGGATATATGTGCAAATATGTGAACAAGGTATGCGAATGAGTTCAATAGCACATTTTCTTAATCTTAAGAGATAAAGATGCCTAAGAAGTGAAGATAAAGCCTTTCACAGACAAATAAAAATGTCAGCCGAAAGAGAGAAGGTCGATTAAATGAAACTGGTTGCAAGCGTGGCTCCAACGCGTACAGCTAGTGTATGAATCCAAAATGTATTGCAACAAATAGATTTAATCAGTTTCTCCTCTGAGTTTCCACATATTTGAAATGGTGAAATCTCATACCTTTATAATTCATATAAATTCAGTTTGAATTTGATCAAATGTCAATTTGGCATCTAAATTTTCATTTAATTTTCTGGTGCACTGGCTGGATGCACATCAACCGTTATTTATTAAAATTTATCAAAATCCAGTGAAAAATATTACAGTATTTTGGTTTAGGATATTTTAGACCTCTCAAGCTTCCTTAGTTAAGAGCAGAATTTTGATATCAATGAAGTGTATATTTAACTATTATTCCTCATAAAATATTCTCAGTGGGTGCATGATAAGTTTTACAGGAAGATTTAATGGGCTGCAAATTAGAGGCATTTGAACTTCATTTTTTTAAATGCTTTGCTTGAGAAGAGACATCTTAATGGGTGTCACAGGATTTTACTGTGAATTTGTAGTGATTGCATTTGCAGGTAAATATGGCAGCAATTTGTGCATAATGGTTGGGACCTTGGGGGGAGTATTTGCAGAAATCTCCTTTCTCTTTTTGAATAGTAATAATAATAATCCTTGCATTTGATATAGTGCCTGATCATGTCTTTAAGACTTGTCAAAGCGCTTCACAGAATATACTGTAAAGTAAATTGACTGTATATTTTGTGGGCGAAACACGGCAGCCAATTGCAAACAGCAGTATCCCACAACCATTCGTCAGTATCCCACAAACATTCGTGGATTGAGTGACCAAATTATTATGATCAGGTTGCTAGTTAACTTCAGTGGTCTAGATATTTGCACATATCTTACCTTGGCCCCATATTCTTTTGTTCTAGTCTGCATTTTGTTTCTTTAATTCGGCTTCCAATCTCAGTCTAATTCAGTCCAAGGTCGGTTCACTACTGACACCATGTAATAAGTCAAACCAAATCAAGGTTGTGTTGGAAGATTTTTAATTTATTAACCTAAACTGTCAATAATTGTCCTTTTGTACTTCCTGCCCTTCTTCTTATTGGTCCTTTTGTTAATTGTCAATTTACTCTTAAAGGAGTATCCAATACTAACCACCAAACAACAGGACTCCATTGATATATTTCCATTCTTATTTTGTAGAAACTGAAGAGCCATTTTCTGGTGTTTTATTGTCAGTCTGGATTAGTCTGAGCTGATCTTTTGCACCCATTTAAACGGCATATGCAACAGAATAAATTTGGAAGGAATGAAGTGGGTGCAAATGAAATTGATGGTGACCAAAAACAGGGCTATTGAGGTAATTCAATTGAGATAATCGTAAAAGTTGTGTTAGCCAATCTTACCAGATTCTGATCTGAACGTTGGAAAAAGCAGAACACAGATCCCAAAAGCAAAAACTAGTTACTGCTCTATGCAACATTAAAGAAATGCATTAAACAATGAACACTGAAAGTTAATTTTAATTAAAGAGAATGTTAAACACTTAAACTTTGCTTCTTTTATCCCTTTTATACTTCCATTCTGTCCTACTTTCCTTTTCTCTATTTGTCTCTTTTAAAAAAATCTTTGATCATGTTTGACATAAATAGGGTTGAGGTTCCAGACAAAATCAAGGAGCTGAAACTAACAAATTGCCCAGAATGGAAAAACTGTATCCCAGGATTCTTAGGGAATTGAGGCAGAAGATTTGTACAGCACTGACAGATATTGTGAGAGTTAATCATCACTAGTGAAGTTGTAACACGCTGGAAGCAAGCAAAAAGGTGACAGAATTATAGTTAGCAACTATAAACCCTGATCCAAAACTCTGCCACCTGTACTAAACTCTGTACTCCCATTACACCAGTTCTAGCCAGGTTCCACTAGCTATCGACGAATGGATTGATTTCAAGATCCTCACACTTGTTTTCAAATCCTTCATGCCCTGGCACCTCCTTATTTCTCCGACTTGCTTACTCCCCAACCACCGCTCGAATGGCTCCGCCCTCCTGTATGTCCCTCGTGCCCTCCGGCTGAAAGTGCACTTTCAGCCACTTTGCCCCGAAACGTTGGAACACTCTGACTCTATCCCTCTGCATTGCTCCTTCATTCCCCATCTTCAGATCATGCCTGAAGACCTTCTTCTTTGACCGTGCCTACACTTTGAACCCCTTCAGTCAGGTTTCCGTGCTGCCCATAGCACAGAAACTGCCCTGGTCAAGGTCACCAATGATATCCTGACCATCTGTGACCAGGGCTCCCTCTGCCTCCTCGTCCTCCTCGACCTATCGGCAGCATTCAATATGGTCGACCACGCTATCCTACTCCACCGCTTGTCCTCCCACCTCAACCTTCAAGGCACTGTCCTTGAGTGGTTTAGGTCGTACCTTTCTCACCGTCTTCACTTTGTCTCGACAAATGGCTTCTCCTCCACCCCCCGCACTGTCTCATGTGGTGTCCCTCAGGGCTCTGTCCTCGGTCCCCTCCTCTTCACCCTCTATATGCTCCCCCTTGGTGACATCATCCGCAGACATGGAGTTAACTTCCACATGTATGCGGATGACACCCAACTCTACCTTTCCTCCTCTACTCTCAACTCCACGACCACCGATGTCCTGACAGCCTGCCTGTCCGACATCGAGTCCTGGACGAGAGACAACTTTCTTCAGCTCAACGTGCGAAAAACCGAGGCCCTCCTGATTGGCTCACGTCAGCGCCTCCGCACCTCAGGCGCCGACACCATCAGCATCCAAGGCTGCACTCTCCACCTCTCAAAGCCAGTCAGGAACCTCGGCGTTTTGTTCGACCCTGAGCTGTCCTTTCTCCCTCACATCCGCACCACAACTGGCACCGCCTTCCATCACCTCCGGAACATCGCCAGACTACGGCATTACCTCACCCCTCACGCTGCTGAAACCCTGGCCCACGCCTTTGTCACCTCAAGGCTGGACTATGGGAACTCTCTCCTCGCCGGCCTTCCCGCCACCTCCCTCCACAAGCTGCAGGTCATTCAGAACTCTGCAGCTCGTGTACTGTCCCGCACCAGGCTTCGGGACCACATCACTCCCACCCTCGCTCGCCTCCACTGGCTCCCCATCCCCCAGAGGATTGATTTCAAGATCCTCATCCTCACCTACAAGGCCATTCACGGCCTTGCTCCCTCCTACCTCTCCAACCTACTATCCCCCTACCTACCTGCCCGTACCCTCCGTTCCTCCGGCTCCGGTCTGCTCCACGTCCCCCGCCCCAATCGCCCTACCATCGGTGGTCGGGCCTTCAGCCTCTCAGCCCCTAGGCTCTGGAACTCTATCCCCCAGTGCCTTCGCCTTGCTTCCTCCCTCTCCTCCTTCAAGGCCGGTCTCAAAACCTTTCTCTTTGACCGAGCCTTCAGCTCCCCTCTCGACTCTCTTCCCCCTCCTTGCTCCCTCCCTCCCTTCCCTCCCCTCACCCTGACCATTTCCCCCCTCCTCGCTCCCCCCCTTCCCTCCCCTCACCCTGACCATTTCCCCCCTGCTCGGGTCATGACCCAACTGTGCAGCGCCTTGGGACGTCCTCCTGACGTGAAAGGCGCTTTATAAATGGAATCTTGTTGTTGTTGTTGTTGTACACCCTCTCCCCCCAGCTCGGGGTCGTGTTCTACCACTGTCAAGTACCGTGGGACACTATCCTGTGTGAGGGGCATTATATAAATGCAAGTTGTTGTTGTTGCCTAACCTCAATATTTGGAAAATGATGGAGTCAGTTATCATTAAGGAAATGGGAGATTATTTCTATGAAAACAGTTAATAAATGACAACCAACTTGGGTTCAGAAAGGGAAAATCTTGCCTGATAAATCTCATGGACGTTTTGAGGAAGTGACCAAGGTGCTTAGAAAATATGTTTTGACATTCTCTTTCACAATTTTAGGTCACTGGATATCACAAGACATGGACATAGATTCAGAATTAGCTGAAGGGAAGAAAGCAGAGTTGTTGGTAGGGAAGCTAGGTAAAAAGTGGAGTGCCTCAGAGGCCAGTGCTGAGACGCCTTCCTGTACCTTGAATATAATAATAGATTTCTAGATTCAATGTAAAGTAGTGACATTTGCAGATGACACCAAGTTTGGGGGAACTGTGGAATCATAGGAGGCAACAAAGGTCTGGCACAGAGATCTTGATGGGTATGCACATACGCCAATGAATGGCAAATGCAAATCAATGCAGACAAATGCAACTTACTGTGCATAGGATGTAAGAATCCATGTGTATTCCATGGATGGAATAGAACTTGACAAAGAAGAAGCTGAAAGAGACTTTGGGAAAGAGATCTTGCATACCTTGACTCATTACTCATTTTATCAATACAGAGTGAGATAGTAATGGAAACATAATGGGGGCTGTGAGGAGGCTCATTACGAGCAAGTCTAATCTTGATTTATACAGAAAGGTCACTGGATAGTAATTCAAGTTTTCAATCAAATTCTCACCCTCTCCACAGCAGTATACACTTTTAATTAATTGTCTTGTCCCAAGTTCATCCTCCATGTTATGAAACTTTCAGGTCTTATGATAGTTACGCACCTTGGTTTCTACTGGTTCATATTCACATAATCTTCACAAACATATAACAGCCATATGTTTCTCAGGACTCAACAGTACCATAAGATGTTATTTACTTTGTGCAATTTAAAGAACTCTACTTTAACCAAGTAGCAAATGACTGTTTTGTATTGTGTACCTGATGCCCGCAATTTGGATGGGTTGTGTCTAATATCTTAAATGACATCATTAATTACCTTAACTACTAAGTAATCAAAGGAAACTAATGTGTCAGCAATATTCCTACATATAAAAATGATAGTCAATGTATTAACTCATTCAAAGTGGTCTTATTCTGCAAGTCACAAGCTAACTTAAGTCCTGGTACTAAATTGTTTCATTTTAAAACACTTGAGCCCACTCACCAATGGGCACTTAGAGCATTTCGTATAAATAATACTAATGAGTGTTATAAATGCATGAGATGACCTTCACTGAAACCCTTCACAAAAATCCTACCTTCACAGCTTATTACTGCTAATGAATTAATTGCTCTTCAATAGTTCTCTCTCTCGTTCCTTTTCTGTCTTCATACAGGACCTTTTGGCCCTAAATTCATATTAAAGAGAGAGAGAGTGCTCTCAGTGAGATTTTTGCCTAATTGTAAATCCACAACTGAGTACACAGTCACAGAAGTAAAATTTTCATCTTGAGAGAGTTCTATTATTGAATTGTTTAACAAACACTACTAAAACAATTTAGAAATTAGAAAAGAAAATAGAATAAAATCACTTTATATGACCTCTATGGATCACTTCATAATCCACTAGAGAAGATCCAAATTTGGCCCAATTATATAATTTCATCTTGGATAAAATGTCAAACTGCGTTCCTTGCTTGTGAGGGTGTCACAAAAACAGGAATATCATCATTAGTGGTTCATAGAATCAAAAGATTATACAGCACAGAAGGAGGTCATTGGTCCATCGTGTCCTTGCCGGCTCTTTGAAAAGAGCTATCCAAATCAATCCCATTGCCTCGCTATCTCCCCATAGCCCATGTTTCACAGTATTTTACCAAAACCCCGGAAAAGGGGTCCCTAACTGTAGGGAAGAGCTTCTACAGTAATATATAATTAATATAAATGCACAATGTCAAAACTATTCTTTCTTATCTACTTCTGAATACTCCTCCTACTGGTCCGGTACCTAATGAGGCCATTACCTCCACAATCTTTACAAAACGTTCATCGACATCATAAAGTCCTTCTTGAATTAAACATACCCTCTGCATAACAGGAGGAGGTGAAAATCAACATAATAAATCTGACTGGACACCAGGCAAAGATGAACAGAATACAATTCATCCAGCAGTTAAGGCAACAACTCAATCTTGAATTTTCTCAGATATTTATGAACCACTTA